TTCCACTCTGAACCTCACAGCCAGAGATCCAGCAAGGCTAATGGTGTTAGCAGCTTACAATAGCAGGAGACAACCAATGCCTCCACTGAAGCAATCAGGCCAATAAGAGGGAGAGAGAGGGAGAGAGGGAGAGAAGGAAAGAGGGAGAGAGGGAGAGAAGAAGAAAGGGAAAGAGGGAGAGAAGGAGAGAGGGAAAGAGGGAGAGAAGGAGAGAGGGAGAGAGGGAGAGAGAAAGAAAAATACTCAATTTTCTTCCTCTCCTCTTTTTGTTCTGTTCTCACCCTCAATGGATTAGATGAAGGCCACCCGCACTGAGGAGATCCACCTGCTATACTCAGTTCACCATTACAAATGCTAATGTCTCCCAGAATCAACCTCACAGATGTGCAGAAATAAAGTTTAAGTATCTGACCTAGTGAAGATTATAGCCAAACTTGAACTTGGTGGTCCCTTCCTTTTGCAATGGTTCAACACTTCCTTATGTTGAAGTCATCCCCAAATGTGCTCTTTCCAGACCTCCATGCCTCTGCACCTCTTCCCTTCTGACCACATTTTTACTTCTTTCTGAAACCATGTCCCATTTTTTTTCCCATGCTTGGAAAATTTCTATTTAAAGCATCTACTTTAAGTCTTTCAAGATTTGTGAAATACTAACTTGCTTTGCTGTGTTGTAACTTCATTATTTGTGCCTTTATGGGACCTCTGTCATGTGACTTGCAGTACTGTATTTCAGACGTTTTCCTCTGCATTGATTTTATCTATAATTTTGTGCATTTCCTCAGGACAAAAATTATATCTAATTCATTTTGCTATTTTGTGTCTACTTCATACTCAATACTTTGCTAATGGAATAATTGAATAAATAGTGAAAAGAAAGTATAAAAAACAACAAAATTATGACTATAATTTCTCTGAACTTTTCTTTATTTTGCAAAAAGATGATAGAGCTACAACTATGATATTGTGCCTTCCAGTTCAGTATCTTAATATAGCATTCTAGATATACTGTACTTAAATGTCCACAAAATTTCCGTAAATGCATAGAAAAAAAACATAAAAATAAATGAGATAGAAATGCAAACAACTAATGTGCATAAATACATTTATACTGACATTCATAATCTTAAGTTTTTGATAACTAAAAGTAATGACAATAAGAAGTATATACAACTTTGTTCTTTGAATAAAATGCCAGAATACCTGTGTCCTGGATTTTCACTGTCACTATTTTACTGTTAGATAAAAAAATTTCAAAAAGATTCATTATACATAAGCCTTAAAATACAGATTAGTTATTTGCAATAGAGTCCCTGTTTGCTAATCCCATGGTTTCTAGTTTCAAAGAAGGAATTCAATTTTAAAAGTGTCGGCTTCTACATATGGGACTATAAATTATTTGTTTCACCAAAAGTTTTCATACTTTTCTGACTAGGAATATTAACTTTGTTTTGGAAATGACTTTTAAAATTCTCTATAAAATAAAGATTTTCAAGTTAATATGATGTGCCTTCTTCTTTTTAAAGATTTATGTATTTATTTGTGAGGGGGAGAGAAAGAGAGAGAGAGAGAGAGAGATATTCCATCTGCTGGTTGTTCCCCAGATGGCTGCAACAGCCAGGTCTGGGCCAAGCCAAAGCAAGGATTATCCAAGTCTCCTTTGTGGGTGGCAGGGGCCCAGCCACTTGACTATTAATTGGGAACTGGACTGGAAGTGGAGCAGCCAGAATTTGAACTGGTACTCATATGGGATACTGGCATTGCAGGCTGCAGTTTCACCTGCTATGCCACAATGCTGATACAGTTGTGGCTTTTTATTAGAATGACACATCTAAACATGTTGAATTTATATTGCATAAATTTTTAAGACAACTAAATTTTAGATTGGGAGAAAATAAAATTTCAAATGTATTACCTGATAAATAAGGGTTAATTGTGGGGTTGCATTTTAGCATTACTTAGACTTATAAATATCAACTCTAATTTTCAAATATTTTAAAATAAGTATTTGCAAAAATTTATATGTTATTTTGTACTGATAAAATAATATAAATTATCATACCCTTACTGGCATTGTCTTTCATACGGTAATCTGTGTTTAGAACTAACAGTTTGTTTCTAAGATAGATACTATATTCTTCTACTGATTCAGTGTAGGTATTTTGGAAAATACTTAAGAGCATAATCATAATTCAATAACAAAAGTAATACAAATCACCTTTATGTGGCTTTTTTGATGAATAACATACTTCTCAAATTAACTTTTTTCATCTGGTATTTGTCATTGCCCAGTTTTTAAAAAAATATTTCTGAAACCTGTACCTGTTTGTGTATTTATATTCTGTTTACAATTATACATTTTTTCTAGTGGATATAATAAATGTGCATGGAATTAAAATTTAATAACATATGATATGCATATGTGGTTATAAATGTAATTTTTTCTGATTACCAATACGAAGAATTAAGATATAGAAATTATTGAGCCCAGCGCAGTGGCTCGCTTGGTTAATCCTCCGCCTGCAGCACCGGCATCCCATATGGGCACCAGTTCTAGTTCTGGTAGCTCTTTTTCCAGTCCAGCTCTCTGCTGTGGCCCAGGAGGGCAGTGGATAATGGCCCAAGTACTTGGGCCCCTGCACCCACATGGGAGACCAGGAGGAAGCACCTGGCTCCTGGCTTTGGATGGGCGCAGCACCAGCCATTTGGGGAGTGAACCAATGGAAGGAAGACCTTTCTGTATGTGTCTCTCTCACTGTCTATAACTCTGCCTGTCAAATAAAAAATATAGAAATTATCTTCTTATTAAAAATTAGAAATAAAGCACTTAATTTGCATAATTTTATTTTAATTATTGATGGATTTTCTTGGCATAATAGTCATCTTGTCTCTTTGTTTTTAGAAATAATAAACAATATCTATTCCTTTATTTTAATTGGAATGATTTATACCTAATTTTTCCATGTTTTTTAAATTTTCTATTGTAATGGCTAAGAATCAAAGAATAGAATTATGTGAGCTATACCTGTTCATATTTTCTGGATAGTGACAAACTTTTGGTAGGGAAAATCTGTACCAACTTATATTTTTCACTAATATGTCAATATTCAAATCACTCACCTGAAATAACAGCCATTTTGACTTCTTATTTTGCAACTTAGTTGATGTACATTATGTCTATCTCACTATCTCCTTTTTTTAAATTTATTTTTGACAGGCAGAGTGGACAGTGAGAGAGAGAGAGAGACAGAGAGAAAGGTCTTCCTTTTGCCGTTGGTTCACCCTCCAATGGCTGCTGCGGCCAGCACGCTGCAGCCAGCGCACTGCGCTGATCCAAGCCCGGAGCCAGGTGCTTCTCCTGGTCTCCCATGCGGGTGCAGGGCCCAAGCACTTGGGCCATCCTCCACTGCACTCCCAGGCCACAGCAGAGAGCTGGCCTGGAAGAGTGGCAACCAGGACAGAATCCGGTGCCCTGAAAGGGACTAGAACCCCGGGATGCCAGCGCCGCAAGGCGGATTATCCTATTTAGCAGTGGCGCTGGTCCTCACTATCTCCTTAATTGGCACAAATTAAGATACTGATTAATTTGGATATCATTGAAATTTTTAAAAATGTGTTTTATTTTTTCTGAAATTACATTTATAAGTTTCATCTCTTTTTATATTAGAATGTCTTCATAATTGTGTTGTGGAATTACTTCATATAATCAACATAGTGATTATTTGGATTTTAAACAAAGTTTTTTAATTGTGTTATAGAAAATTTTCACTGTACAGGTAGAATTTTTTAGCTGCTTTCAAATATTTCCAGCACATAGTTTACACATTTTATTTTATTTTATATAAAAACTGTTATACTTCGGTCCTTCTCACTTTATTGCTTTGTGTACCTAAGGCCAGATGTTAGCTTTTTAGGTCATTCTCTAATAAAATGAATCAGGAGTCCTTGGAGAAATGGCTGAGTGCAGAGCTGGCCAAAGATTTATGCAAGATTATATTAATCAATGTAAGGCTAACGTGGACTACATTATAGTGCCAAGATGGAAGGAAGAGCTCAATGAGCAAATTGACACATTATATTCAAAAAGTAAAAAGGCTAATTCAAAGGACTTACTTGTATCAAAGTGGGAAACATTTGAACAATAGAATAAATAGTGTAGTAAGATTAGAATTCAAAGCATAAAATAAATATGTGTGAGTTCACACTGGTATACATCAATAATTGAATGAATAAATGAATGGACCTCTGAAGAGGGGAACAAGTAAATGGAATAATCAATCTCTCTTGTGGAAGAATTCAAATAATCATGCAAATGTTTTCCTTTCATGTAAGTGAAGTCAATTACCTATCCCTGGAGTATAGGTGAGTCTTAGTAACTTGCGTCCAAAGAGTACAATATGGAAAGGGAGAACAAATGCAACTTGATAGTACAGAATTGTGATAAACTCTACCACAGTTAGCCACTTAAGATGAGTATTAACAGAAAAAGTCTTGTCGATGTTGCGCACCATGGACATGAAGTGGTGAGTGACCCTTTACCTCTGTGATCTTCCTTCCCAAAACCCATATCCCCAGTCTAATAAATACATAAAGAATATTCCAGGTAAGGGGCATTTCATAAGTATCTGACCATAATTTCCAAAACTGCCAGTCATAAAAAAATGACAGAAGTCTGAGAAATCAGCACTGAGCGGAGCAAGCTGAGCAGATATAGAACAAAGCAACAGAATGTCCTGCTCATAAAACAGGATTCTATAGCAATGCCAATGCAGCCAGAATTATGGATTAATATCAATTCAATTGGTCCCATTTACCACAATGTATCATAAGTTGTGCAAATACACCACTATTGCAGAAGTTGTTAACAATAAGATGAATTGACTGTCGGGTAGAAAGGAACTCTATGTTGTCTTTGTAACTTCCAAGTTAATATAAAATATTATACTATATATATATTATATATATAGTTAACATGTGGACTTCGTTTATGTTTGTCTTTCTAGCTCTGTCACCTAACTGGTTGGATTTCTTGGGGAATATATTCAAGTTGGAAATGAATAGCAGTTTGGACTTTTAAAGGATGCCAGCCTTCTTAGAGGTATGTGACAATTAAATCTTATCAACATAGATGCTTTACCTTTACTTCATTATTTCTATTTCTCTTATTTGGAGGATGGAATGGTGGTACAGAAAAATAGGTAATGCATTATGTTTAAGGTTACAACCTGTCAATTCCAGGCTGAATTTCCAGACCATATCCTCCATGCCAGTTGACTGTATTGAAAAATTATACAAACAAAAATATTGTTTATTGCATTAAAATAAAATATACACAAAGATAGATGTTTTGACATCTCAATAAACAAATTCTATTAGAGTTCTTTTTCATTATGAATAATATTTACTTAACCATGTATATATTTACAGACGGTTTGACCTAAATATTACAAAATCAGAATTTAAGTAACCATTTATTTCAACAAGTATTATAGATTTTATGCCCTTTTATTGTATTTTTCTAACACTGTTTCAATTTACATAGATTTGAAAAAACTTAATTATAATATGCCTTTTAAAGAATAAAAGTCAATTTCTTCCTATTGTATTCTATTTTATGACACTTTGACTACTCTCTCATAACTATTAGAGATCACTACTGTTAAATTGGATATATCTCATCTCCAAGGCAAACCTCAGATGAAACTCTCACACAGGAATACAAAGTCACAGATTTCTTTTCTTTATTTATTTTTTAAAATATTTTATTTATCTATTTGGGAAGCAGAGTTATAGACAGTAAGAGGGAGAGTCAGAGAGAAAGGTCTTCCCTCCATTGGCTTACTCCTCAAATGGCCACAATGGCTGGAGCTGCACCTATCCAAAGCTAGGAGCCAGGGGCTTCTTCTGGGTCTCCCACACGGGTGCAGGGGCTCAATGACTTGGGCCATCTTCCACTCCCTTCCCAGGCCATAGCAGAGGCATGGATTGGAAGAGGGGCAGCCAGGACTAGAACCTGAGCCTATATGGGATGCTGGCACTGCAGGCAGAGGATTAACCTATTGCACCATTGTATCAGCTTCTTTTGTCTTTATTAATATTAATATGATGCAGTCTAGTTCAATTGTTTTTTTTTTTAAAGGGAAAGGATTTATTGGTGAAGAAACCCAGCAGACAGGAAGGAAGGGACAAAGAGGGAAAAGAGAGAGAGAGAGGAGAGCATAAGAAAGAGAGGTCAAGAGACAGAAAGTGCGAGCGAGGAAAAAGGATACACGTGTTCATGAACGAATCCTCTTAAAACTTTGCTAGGGGCAAGTAGGAAAGTAGGATCAGCGAATCCTATTAGGATGAGGGGGGAGCTGACACTGTGGTTGGGCTATGAGGCTTAGGACCTAACCCTTGGGATAGGGTCTAAGAAGGTAAGTGAGGCATAGATGGTGCCACATAGACTGCACCATTTTACTAACATCTCCCCTTTTTTATATATATATAAAGCAAGAGTTGTATGGCATTACATTAGCCCTGAAAGTTCAGGAGGGGTGGAGGGATGATGATCTGTCTTTAGAACCACTTCCTGCTGACATGGGGCAACGTCTCAAGCTGCTGGTTCCTGGGTGGGGACCCAAATATATCCTGTAGCAGCATTTACTTGAACACCTGATTGGTGAATGCCTTGGTTCATTCCATTATCAACTCCTATAAACACTTAAACAGACATGGTAGTATAAAAGACAGTGAGAATAATAACCAATGATCCTAAAAGTGGCATTAACCAAATAATGAGAGGATTTCATAGAGGAGAGGAAATGAGGTGATCTCTGGACCCTTGTGAAGACACTTGTTCTTTTGATTACAATCCTAGTCTGCTTTTCCTTTCCTGGTGGCAGGAATCTAAACCCTGAGATTTGACACTTAAGTTAACCTACATGGACACAGTAATTATACAATGGCTCTGACACTTGCTGTTTTGTAAACATGGAATCTATTCCTAGCCTCTAGTCAAAACAAGCCTGGTATTCTCAGTTCCCAATCAGTGATCAATTATGATTAACCATAAATATCACAAATTGAAAACGTTAGAGATAAGGCAGACATGTAAACTAATATGGTTATGGATCTTGCTGTGATATTTGTTCAAACTCTGTGTGTGCTCATATTTAATAAGCATAAAAGTGAAGTTGTTTTGCTTTTAGTGTTTCTTTTATAGGATTAGATTGTTTTAAAATGGTAATCTTTAACCTAATTTTAAAACATCATGAACAAATTTTGAGTATCACTTTGGAATAATCACTAAAAACTTTTAAGTACAATTTTCAGTATTATAAATTTGAAAAGAAATTAATCAGTGTATATCTCAAATAATAATGATGTTTTTACTTTTGTGTTATATGTTATCTATCATTTTTTCTCATCAATAATTCAAAATTTCTACATAGAAAATATCTTTCCTTTACTTTCTAGAGTATTTCCAGTTTGTAGAAAATTTTAATTCTAATTTAAGTCTAATCTTGAATAGTTTGAGTGGCGATTTTATTCCATATATTATACTTGTATTTATAGAATAAAGACATCCAAGACTTCTAATTTAATTCCTATAAATAGCATTACATCCTTCTTATCAAACCCATTATTAAATCAACCTAAATATTATGTATGATGCAAATATAATGAATAAATTATATCAAGTGATTTTAATTATTAACTCAAGACTTTGCTTTTTTAAACTATTATATATTTATTTATTTTTATGGCAGAGCATTAGAGAGGGAGGGATACAGATTTTCAATGTGCATTTTTACTCCCCAAATGACTGCAATAGCCATGGTTGTACCAGACCATGCTAGGGACTAAGAATTCCATCCTTGTCTTCCACATGTGAGGCAGGGGCCCAGGGACTTGATTATTCCCACACATATTAGCAGAGAGTTGAATTGGAAGTAGAACAGCTGGGACTTGAACTACCATGCTAGTATAAGAAATTGGCATCACAAGATGTGGCTTGAAACATTGTGTAGCAATGCTATACCAAATTCTTTGGTTTAAATCATAAAGAAATACCAAAACACCCAAACACCTGATTAGAGAAAGACATTCTTCTCAAATGTCCTTTGGCTCAGTCTGTACTATAGTTGAAGATAAACATAACTAAACTGTTTGATAATCACTTCACACAAAAACAGTTTAAAGATAATAAATTGAGAAAGAATACATTTAAAGGAATTAGGTGATACACTTGTTTTCCATTTGGGTACAGTTCACATTGACACAGAAAACATTTGAAGAGAATGGCTTAAAATTGTTTTCTTTTCCATGAATTATAAACTTCCAATATTAGTATAGACCTGAAAGTAATCTCAAGAAGAATGCTATAATAAAATACTGATGGCCAAGAATATCGAAGATGTATGTGTCAAGACAAATAAATTTAGGCTTAAAAATTCTTGGAGATTGGTGTTGTGGTGTAGAGGGTTAAGCCATTGGCTGTGATGTTGGCATCACATAAAGGAGTGCTGGTTCTAGTCCTAGGTGCTCCATTTCTGAACAGGCTCCCTGTTAATTTGCATGGGAAAGCAACAGAAAATGGTGCAAGTTCTTGGGCACCTGCACCCCTGCACCCATGTGGAAGACTGAGATGGAGTTATCATACGCTGGTTTCAGCCCAGCCTAATCCTGGCAGTTGTGGCCATTTAGGGAGGCAACAAGCACAGGAAAGAACTCTCTCTTTCTCTGACTCTCCTTCTCTCTATCATTCTGCCTAAAACAAAAGAAATAAAACAAAAAATTTTTCAACTATTTACTTTTGGGTAAGATAGTGTTGTGCAGGTTGCTCACAATCTCACCACCTTCTTGTACAAATTCTTTTTTCAACAAAGAAAGGACAATATATTTCTTCTGTAACATTTTACAAGGTGTGGAAATATGTGATGTTATTTTATGTTTGGTGAATGAAAAATCATTTGGGAAGTTAAAGAATGCAGTGTGTATGAGAATGGCTGGCAGATAAATGTCAAAGAGCAGGTCTAGGATGAAATTTCACATCATGGCAAGGTGTTTTTTGTTTGTTTGTTTGTTTGTTTTTGACAGGCAGCGTGGACAGTGAGAGGGAGAGAGAAAGACAGAAAGTTCCTTTACTGTTGGTTCACCCCCTAATGGCTGCTGCGGTCAGCGCGCTGCAGCTGGCACACTGCGCTGATCCAAAGCCCGGAGCCAGGTGCTTCTGGTCTCCCATGCAGGTGCAGCAGGTGCAGGGCCCAAGCACTTGGGCCATCCTCCACTGCACTGCCGGGCCACAGCAGAGAGCTGGCCTGGAAGAGGGGCAACCGGGACAGAATCCGGCTCCCCAACCGGGACTAGAACCCGGTGTGCTGGCGCCGCCGCAAGGCGAAGGATTAGCCTATTGAGCCGCAGTGCCGGCCATGGCTAGGTTTTGAGAGGAGTTTTGTGTGATGTAGAGCCATGTTTTATTTCTTTTTTAAATTATAGAGTAGTAGCTTGATAAAATGTATATATAAGATAGGAAGACAATTACAGGCAATATATTGGGAAATTATATACGTGAGATCTTTTGGAGGTACCATTCTAATTTGATTTTTATCTGTTCCATATAATTTTTTTAGAAAAATACTTGCATTTATCATTGTTCAAAAAATATATATTCATTTACTTAGAGTGATTTAAATAGTTTTGGGATGTTAATTTAATGGAATCTTTCAGTATACTATAAGGATGTTTGGCTGCCACAGAGGCACACAGATCTAGAATCTATCTTTAAACAAAATAAGACTTTAAGACATTGATATGATTATTGAGTTCCTGACACTCAGAAACACCACCTCTCAGCAGGGATGAAGAGAGACAGAAACTCACGGAAACACCAAGGGAGCAACAGATCTGCTCAGTCAGGAGTGAATTTGAGCTTTTCTGGCTTTTGTGCTCAGAGTATCCTGCTGAGCTAGCAACAGTTAAAAAAATGAATTGTAGAACCATCAGTTTTTTTAGATGTACTTTGTAAGTCATAACTAGAAATCATTTTGTAAATTTTGTTAGTATAGTTTTTTTCTTGATGGGTTATTATTTTGGTTGTAATTAACACATCTGAAG